CTGCAACAGATCATAGACATTTAATGGGTAAGAATGGTTGATTCCCAGGCTGAGCCAAGTGTCCCTGTATAAGCCCCAGGTTTCACTGGACTTGCCTGGACTGAATCTACCAGATTGAACTCAATCCTCAGGGGAGTCTTTGCCCCAGAGGAGATGGGAATGGGGGGTGGACTGGGGGAAAGGCGGGGGGGGGGGGGGGGGGGGGGGGGGGGGGGGGGGGGGGGGGGGGGACGGGACAGGAATCCGTGGCTGATATATAAAAAAAAAAATGATTGATTCCTTTTCTTTTCCAAATTATCAATCTAGACTGGCTGGACTAATAAATTCTTCCCAAGAACTAATACTGATCTAGGGGAGTATATATTTCCTGTATATAGTTCAAGCATACTGAAATGAATAATTTCTAAGTAAAGAGATGTTTTCTAGTAATGTCTAAAGCAACAATTGCTATTATCAGCCATCTTTCAACCATGAGTGAAGTCACCATGGAACAGAAGAGAGAAGATAAAAAAAAGTTCTTAAGAAAGCAATACCACAGCTCTGGCCTGCTCTGTTTAAAGTCCACCTTCCTTTGGACTCCTTATATTATATAAAATTACTTTTGCCTAAAATCATTTCCTGAAAAACAAAGTCTTCCTGACAGACCAAGATAAAATCCCTTTGAAAGAATTTAAATATTATGGGCAAGTTTGAAAAAAAATAGTCTTTCACTATTAGGAAGATAGTATTCTAGTCTATCACTGACTATTGACGCTATCCATACTCTGAAGGAACGGCATTTATCTACCCTATCACATGTGACTTGCCTATGCCTATTGGAACAGGACCATACAACCTGCCTGAAATGTGTGTGGACTGTCAGATGTGGTCACAAAGTGCTCATGCTACATCTAAGCAGATACTTTGGGACACTGAAGTGGCCAGAGGTTCCCCTATCCTTTCCATCCACCAGGTTCTTTATCATAGCTACCTCCACGTGGATTCTGAATGAGAAGACAGAGATCCTAACAGATGGAAAATAGAGAACTGGAGGAGCAACAAACAACCCACGATTGATAATAGGTTATGCAAATCAAAAATAAACATTTGTTATTTTAAATAACTAAGACATTTTTTGCTCCAGTAAAGCTGAATGTTAAGCCTCTTCAAGGACATAGTTTAGATTACTTATTCTAAATGTCAGACTCCAAAGGATTAAGTAATAAAAGTTGTGAAGAAAAGGGACAGATACTCCTCCATGTAGATTGTAGAATGCCCCAGAATGTGTCACTCACAATAACAATGAGGAAAGAAAAGCCAAACTTTTCTTGGTTTCATGAGAGAGTTATAGGATGATAAACTAAATTCCAAAGACTGGCATTTCCCCTCCAGTGAAAGACTCACATGCCTTCATATGCAACATGGAACAGGAGGAAGAGACAATGGCTGCAGAAATGGGGTGAAGAGGGTTCCAGAAAGGACCTTCACTTACTGACAATGGCAAAGAGAGATGCAAAGCTTACGCTGAGGAAACCCAGGAGGAAAGCCTCTCACTGTTCTACCTACTTCAACTTCCTGCTTGAAACATTGATATAAGAGTTCTGACAGAAGCCGGGCGGTGGTGGTGCACGCCTTTAATCCCAGCACTCGGGAGGCAGAGCCAGGAGGATCTCGATGAGTTCAAGGCCAGCCTGGACTACCAAGTGAGTTCCAGGAAAGGCGCAAAGCTACACAGAGAAACCCTGTCTCGAAAAATCCAAAAAAAAAAAAAAAAAAAGAGTTCTGACAGAAGGTGCCAATGGGATTCCTAAGCCATGGAAAGCGATCTTTGAGCAAGAAGAAACAATGCAAGAGAATGTTCAAAGGACAGAAATAAGGAGCTTAAGAAATCGCAGTTATCAAAAGAGGGAAGCAGATCACACAAACCAAGAGGAAGCAGCTTGAAAGTAAACCCAGACAAGAGCCCAGAGCAGTAACTGATGGGTGCTCAGGAGTCCCTAAAGACAGTAAGTGGACCAAGAATGAGGTGTCCATCAGAAACTCTGCAGTAAGACAGGCCAGTAAGTTGGCAAAATCCACTAGTGTGTTATGTTTGAACTTTAACAAGACTCATGACAAAGTCTTTCATGATGTTCAGATATACAAGATAGAGCCATAAAAATAGAGAGGAAAACTTCAACAAATAGACTACAGGAAAGTCAAAGGCTAATCACACCCCTATTCTAAAGAGCTTCCAATGGAGGGATTTGTATGGAAAAGGCTATTCAAATAAGATTTAAAAAGAAAAAAAAAGAGTGTGATTACTGTAGGTGAACTTAGTAGCAACCACAATAATTTAAGTAGCACTTAAATACATTTCAGTTGTGGTACTTAGTTTTTTCGGGGTTTGGTTGTTTGTTTGTTTGTTTGTTTGAGTCCTCACATAATCTTTAAAGGAGGAATAGTTCTGTTTCTACAAACAAGGAAACAGGTTTAGGAAGGTTAAGTAAGTAAACTGCTCAAAATAATACACTTAGCAGTAGGTAAAAGAGTGACTGTAGAGTTGGGTCTGAGTGCGACAGTTGTCCTCTTAAATGTTGCACGCTGGCCTTGAGATGATGCGTGGAGTGTACACTAAGACAGTGAACCACGCAGCCCTGCAGGGAGATCAGTGAAGAGTCGATCCGGTTGATCTGATCAGTGCAGAGAAGATGCAGGAAGGAGGAGTCAGTAACATACCAGGCAGTAGGGATGAAGGCAGGACCGAGCTGAACTAGAGGGCACGAGAGATGATGCTGGGATGAGTTAGTTGTGGAAATGGAGGAAAGATGGACTTGTTTGAACGGGGGTCAATGAAGCAGCTGAAGAGGCGATACAACTTGATTTTCATCTCCCAAAGACAATTAAAATCGCCCGTCTTTGTAAAGTCCTCTCAGTCTCTTCGGCACCTTCACTATCGCTGGTAAAGATAAACAGCCTGGCTTATGAGACTCTAAAGGCACTCATGCAGTGCATATTTCCTCAACTCTCCCCTTTCCCAACTCTTAGTAACCTTAGTGCTCCCAACAAATTCTTAATTAAACATTCGGGTTTCATCACAAATGTCAAATTGTCATTTGATCAGCAAGGCAAAGTGTTAAGTTTAATATTTTTAATATATACTCAACTTATTTCTCTCACCTCTACTATTGCCACATTTAAACAAGAGTAATTTATGTAAACTTTTAAAAATAAACATACTGATATGTGTTATTGTCAAATATTATAATAAGCCTAACCATAGTAATTTTTCCAAACTTAATGTAGAACACTATGTGCTATTTAAGTAACAAATCTGGAATTTGGGGAAGCAATTTAAACTTTATAAGAGTAAACAAAAAAGTTCAAAAGCAATAGAGCCTTTTAAGTTTCTGTGGTTAATACACACAAATATTAATACAGCTAAGTAATCCAAACTGGCAGCATAAATGTGGCACAAAATCATCATCCTTATATGCATTATAATGAGTGTGTGTACTTCACAGAAATGTGAGGAACACACAGTGCAGGGAAAATGCTGTTTTTCTCTAAACCTGATAGTTGGTCACCCAGTAAGTCACGAGAATCTAAAGTTTTCCGTCATTTATAGCAGTCTCCTGCCTAAAATGTAAAATCATTGGCTTACACAGTGAATCATTATAAATCTCTCACAAGCTTTTAAACCAATCAGTCAAGCTTAGAATGCAGTGATTTGGAGAATCATAGCTCTGAGGCTTTGGGGCCTCACTGTGCAAGGGTAATAAATGTAAATGATTTTGTAACTTGTAGAAACACAGGTTAGTTCTCTCTTTACCTCCCAAAGAGCAACTGAGTTTGACTAAGGAGGTTTACTGTGATCCCAGGGAAAAGAAATCTATTATGTCACTTTCTTTCCTGAATCCTAGGGAAAAGAATAACATAAAAAGCAGTTAATCTGTTAAGCACACAAAGCCTAGTATATAGAAAAATGCCACTCAAAAAGCCCCGATTCTCTGTGTAATTTGCAGCCTTCCCAGTGAGAAATGAGCCTTTCTAAAGCACAATTCAGTAAGTGGTACCACTTACTCAATTTGCCCTCATTTTGGCAAGAGAATCTTCACAACAGAGAATGCATATCTGATGTCATCACAATTCTAAAACAGAAACGAAATCTATTTTTTTGCAGTCCACATGAAATTATGTTCAAATTTTGAAAATAAATCTTATGCAGCGTTTGAACAATTTCTTTCAGTTGGAAACATAACTTCATGAAGAAAGCAAAGTGATTTACTGAGAGGAGTAGAGACATTCAAAATATATACATATTATCATAGTGTTAATAAATGTCTAACTATATACAATAAAATGAAAATGATGCAAAGTGCGTCCTCATTCAACTTACAGTTTTTTCTCATTAGAGTCTTGCTAAAATTTCTTAAGCTAAAACAGATAATAAAGTATTCCTCTTTCAGGTACGCTCTGGGTTTGCACTGTTCTGCTGTTTTATTTCTGTTGACGGTCTTCAAATCAATGGTCATGTGTCCATGCCTGCATCTCAAGGTCATAGTGTCAGACTGCTTAGTGTTTGTTTTCTTTGTCAATGTTCAAGTTTTGAACAAATTCCTCAAGCAGGCTTATTAAATTCTTCTGCTCAAGAAGTCTGCTCTCTCTGGCTCATCTGAGCCTTCTGCATTCTTCACATTTTTGCAAAACTAGACAAATTTAAGATCCTATTAGCAGAACTCAAAGCTGACATCCAAATGGCAAGCAAGGTGGAGAGCTCATGTTCTTGATACCCACGGAGGGGAGGGATGCAAACAGCATGAAAAAATACCTCTCAGGCAGGCTTGGTAGTGCACACCTTTAATCCCAACATTCAGAAGGCACAGACAGGTGGCTCTCTGTAAGTTAGAAGCCACCCTACATGGTGAATTCCAGGTCAGCAAGACATACACAGTGAGACTCTGTTGCAAAAGAATAAAGAATGCCTCTCCATTGTGCATTCTACTCCTCTTCTCTGTCTAGAGGAGGGTCCTGTTTACCATGTCATGCTCAGCATTGTGTGAGCTATGCTGGCAAGTACAAAGACCTGGAAACTGCATATTTATTGTTCTATTTAAGTAATGATATCCATTTCACCTAGGAAGAGAACGCTTGAAAATGTGCTATGAATCAACTGGAAAAAGCCACTGTAAAGCAATGTACAGCTGAAACTGGGATGTAGAGATGTGTGGTGGAGAAAGAGGAAGTGTAAGTACATACCATTCTTTCTGACTTACACATTTTTCTTTTTGTTTTTTCATCTGCTTGTTGTCTTTGTTTAGGTTATTTTGTTTGTTTGAATGACTGTTAACTTAGGGCAAAGGAGCATACTAGACAAGCACTCTACCTCTGCTCCAATCTTGATTTCATTAAAAAATGAGGTCATAAGAGGTTATAGATAAAAACAATGGGATGCATGTCTTGGTTAGGGTTACCGTTGCTGTGATGAAACACCATGACCAAAGCAACTTGGGGAGAAAAGGATTTATTCAGCTTATCCTTCCACCTTACAGTTCATCATCAAAGGAAGCCAGGACAGGAATTCAAACAGGACAGGAACTTGGAGGCAGGAGTTGATGCAGAAGCCTTGGAGGAGTGCTGCTTACTGGCTTGCTCCTCATGGCCTGCTCAGCCTGCTTTCATATAGAACCCAGGACCACCAGTTTGGAGATGGCACCATCCATAATGGACTGGGCCCTCCCCCATGAATCACTAATTAAGAAAATGCCCTACAGGCTTGTCTACAGCCAGATCTTATGGAGGCATTTTCTCCATTGAGGTTCCCTCCTCTTAGATCACTCAACTGTGTCAAGCTGACATAAAACTAGCCAGCACAGTAAGCTTATAAGATATTGTAGCATGCCTTTTCCTGTAACGCCTCCCCACCCTCAAAAGATCATTTACCTGTTTCTGGGATATTGAAAATATTTTTTAAAGTAAAAGCCATAATCAAATGATAGCTACAAGAACATCACAGTTGTTCAGCATCTCCGTCTTGCTTCTGCTCTCTGGTGTGTAGACATATGCTAAACAAACTGCAGTGTTTACTACACATGCTACACAGCACTTCAGTCGACAGCAGACTGGATTTACAATAGAAGTCCCATAAGATTATAATGGAGCTGAAAATTCTCAGTGGCCAAGTGACGCTACAGCCATTCTAACATCACTGTGCTCCGTATTTCTCACACATTTGTGGAAATCTTTCCACCAACAGGCCTATAGCACACTGCCAGTTACACACAAGACTAGCACAGACACTTACATTCAGTGCATCATTAGTAAATGGCTACCACTCACTGGTTCACATGTTTGCTATATTATATTTTTATCCTTATTTTAGAGCACATCTCTGGTCAGCGGCTTCATGTGTCTGTTTGCCATGTCTCCTGACTGCATCATTTTCTCTTGGGCTGAATTTAATCTCACATTGCTTTGTTCATCTAGCCCCAGAAGCAAAGCAAAGGCTTTGTAGCCCTGGCACGCAGAAGGCTATATGGGTTAGGTTTGTGTAAGTACACTGTACGATGTTCACAAAACGACTTGGTTGCCTCAAGACACACTTCACAGAACATTTCCTCTCCATTAAGCAACACAGGCCTGTACTTGTATTATTATTAAACATTATATATATATAAAACTAAATATCACACTAAGGCTTTATGTCTATGAATTGAGCTTTATATTTTTTGGTCAAGTTTCAAACCATGATTACATACAATAATTCAGTTAACTAGTTAATTTGTTAATTTAATTTGTTAACATTAATTATTGTTCATATAAAGCTAAAAATTCAATCTTGAAAAAACTAAGTTTAAATATAATATTCCAGATCTGATATTTCAACAGAAACATGCATCAGGTAATAAATAGCTCCCTTTGATCATTGTTTTTAAAGCCTCTTGAACCATGCTCTGATTAGTTCTATTTAATATTTAACATCTGGTTAGTCAATTTCAATCTGCAGAGAACACTGCTGGAAAAATCCTATGCTGACTAAATACATTTATAATACTACAAAGCTGACATGTAATTGATTTTAGTTCCCATAAAAAGATTATGTTAACTTTCCTTAATCTATATATTTATATTTTGTGCAGTCTGTAGAACTCACACTAGGGATGCTAAATTTTTATTTCCTATCAATATTTTATGTAAAATTGATAGGGTTATATTTTAGTCTAACTACCACTTTTTAATTTTTTCCCTTGGAAAGGAAGTAACATACTGAAAAATATTGCTGCACAGTGGTGGCACTAATACAACAGAGGTTTCCTGGCCAGCTGCAACCCTTCGAATCAATGGGAGAGGTACAGCAGCTTTTCTTATATGCCCTCAGACCCAGACAGGTTTTTAGTTTTGTTTTAAATTAAGTGTTCTTTGTTTTTTTGTTTTTTACATTTTTGAGACAGGGTTTCTTTGTGTAGCCCTGGCTGTCCTGGAACTCGCTCTGTAGACCAGGCTGACCTCAAACTCAGAGATCTGCCTGCTACTGCCTACCAAGTTCTAGGATTAAAAGGGTGCACCACCACCACCCTGCTTTAAATTAAGTTTCTATTTCTCCAAAGTCTAGTATATTTTGTTATTATTGTTGCTGTTAATATTATCTAAATAGGATGTTTATTTTTATTGTGTATGTTGTTTGTGTGCTGTGTGTCTGTGTGTATGCATGTGTTGTTGTAGTTGTTGTTGTTGTTTTGTGTGTATGTGTGTTTACACATACCATGGCATACATGTGGAGGTCAAAGAACAACTTCCAGGAGTTAATTCTCTCATTTTACAATGAGGAGTTAAATTCATGTCATTATACTTGGGAGCAGACCCCTTTATCCACTGTGCCGTCTCACCAGCTCTAAGAGAAAGTTTTGAACCAAACGATCTGGATCAAAGATGATAGTGACTTGGACTAGGGGTGAACAAAAGGAATTAAAAAGAGGCTGAACCAAGAGTGAACGATAAAGTAAATAATAGCCTCTGGATAGCACTATGAACTCAAAAGTTCTAAAAAATACATAAACTATTTTGGTAAAGTGGTTGGATTCTGCATACATATTTTAACCTTGGTCCTAAAATATTTGGTCAGAGGGAAAACATGGTCTAAAATGAGGGGGGCTGACTCCAAGTACTCTGAGCAGATAGAGAGGTTGGACTTGAGAAGTTCCTCGGTTAAGCAGCCTGGGAAGGCAGTTGACTCATGGGAGCCACTGACAACTGTGAGAACTGTTAAGCTGGCACAGGCATGAAATCTCTCCCCCTTCAAAATTCTACCAGCATGCCTATGAGGAATGCAGGTCAGCACATCCAGGAAGCATGTAAATGGCTAATCAATTTAGGTACTTGAAGGATAAAGTCACCTAAATTACTATGACTGTCCATTCGAGTCATAGTCAGCTATTGCATAACAGGTCCTCAGAAACCTCAAGTCAGGAGCACAGGGACTGAGGCCACAAGAGCTCGGTGGCTAGGGGCACTTGCCACCAAGTCTGATGACCTGACTCCTTTTCCCAGGCCCCACATGGTAGAAAGAGAGAACTGACTCCTATAAGTTGTACTGTTACAGCTGCAAATGTACTATAGCATGCATGTACTCACCACTCATATTCATATAAATAAACTATAAATAAATGCAAGCAAAAACTTGTAAAGAATAAAACAGTCATTTGTTTATAATTGGCAGACTGAAGATTGTATATTTTAACATTATGCATTATTTTAAATGTACATATGTTATAAAATACTAAATCAAGCTAATTAGGGAATGTTATTATCTCGTATTACTATTTTTGTGTTGAGAACACTTACAATCCATTTTCTTAGAAATCTGCAAGAATACAAAGGGAGCAGGCATTTTTATACTTATATTCTTTCTGATATCTTAGGGGAATTTTCTGGAAGTATATAAAATGGCAAATACATTTGTAGTAACTCTATTCCATTTTTAACAGTATTTATTGAGCATTTGTGATGGGATGGCTTCCAAGGGGCATACAAATTAAATAGAAACCCCATAAATCTTGTAAAATATAAAATATTACAGCTCTCAAGATACCTATAGTCTAAAGGGGAAATACACACAAAATAGGAGAAATGCTTCAAAAGCAGTACTGTTTAAACTTAAATGTACATAAGAATTTCTGCATCTAACCCCAGAGAATTTTTGGTAGACATAAAAAAAGACCTAACATTTCAACAAGATTCCATATGATTTTAATGAAGATGCTCTGTAACTCCAAACAATAGGACTAACTTTCAAATGTACCCAGAGAAATTTATCCTTAATAGTTTATAGTATTTTACATCTAACTCAAACTTAAGATGCAGGCATTCTGTCCTATAACATCAAACTCTAAAGACTGGTTCCACTGAAGTCTAACCCTCTTAAATACATCTATATATTCTCAGAATGTAAACTTTCAGCCTCTTTTAAAATGTTGAAATATAAATAATATTATTTTGTTTAATTCAAGTATAATTACATTAATTCCTGCTTCCTTCTCCTCTATCCTAGCACTCCCATGGACCTCCTTGCCTCCAAAAATCTACAGTCTACTCTTCTTGAATTATTGTTGTTACATATACGTATGTCTTAGTTATGGTTTCTATTGCTGTGAAGAGATAGCATGGCCATGACAAATCTTATAAATGGAAACATTTAGTTGGGGCTGGCTTACAGTTTCAGAGGTTTAGCCCATTATCATCATAGTGGGACATGGCAGTGTGCAAGAAGACATGGTGCTGGAGAAGGAGCTGAGAGTTCTACATCTTGATCCACGGGCAACACAAGGAGATACTATGTACTGGGTATAGCTTGAGCATATGAGACCTCAAAGTCTACCCCCACAGTGACATACTTCCTCCAACAAGGCCACACATCCTAATGGTACCACTCCATATCGGTCAAGCATTTCAAACATAGGAGTCTATGGGGGCCATACCTATTCAAACCACCACAGTGTATAAATGAATACATCTATAAGTACAACCCTGTGAGTCCAGTTAGTGTTGTTTACATGTATATATTTTTCCAGAGCTGACCACTTACTGTTGCATATCCAATTGAGGGGTTTGTGTTAAAGTTTGTGTTAAGGATGTGTTAATTAGGACTGGGCATCCCATGAGCAGTTGTTCTCTGCATCTGAACTAGTTATAGCTTTCTGCAACGGTCTCCTACTTCTGCAAGAAGAAACTTATCTGATGATAATTGAGATCTACATTTATCTGTGAGTATAAGAAGAAATATTTAGAATACAGTTGGGAAATTATTCTGATTTAGGAAACTGGCAGTCATAGGTTCTCCTTTTGGGTCTATGACCTCTCCGACTACAGGTGATAGGCTAGTTTTTACAGTACCAGGCATAATCCCCCGCCCCCGTGTTGAGTGAGGCTTAGATCCAGTTAGATGGCTGTTGGTAACAGCTGAGATACAAGTGCCACTACTTCACCACCGTGGAAATGTTGCCAATCCAGTCATTGTTGTAGTGAATCTGGCTTGGACTACCATGAATATACTTTTCCCTTGTCAGCCTGCATAGTACCTTCTGATACTGTGAGAGTCCCTCCTCAGGAATGGAGCTTCCAGATCAGTTGCAGCTCAATTACTCCAAGTCCAGTGTCAAACGCATGTTATGTCCTCAGCAATAGGGTCTTACCTTCTGATTCTGAGAGACAGCCAAAGGCAATGGCAATAGCCTGTATTGTCCAGGGGAATCTCTTGGACTCCCTGACCAACAACTCAAGAGGAGGTTTCTCATGTACGGGGCTGGGATTTTTGTCTGATAGTCATTGACTTTTCAGGGGAGCATTATCACCCCAAGTGGTGGAACTTCTTTCAAATATATACATATATATGCTATGTAAATGTGTATTTTGTATAGTTTTAGGTGAATATACAATAATGACTCCCTATGCCTTGTTCAAGCATCCTTAGTGTTATGTATCCCTCCTCCCTCCCTCCCCCGTTAAAGCCCCTCACTTTTCCTATTTCTCTCCTCACAGCACCTGTGTCCTACTGTCACCTACACTTGATTCCCCCATTTACTCTCTTATTTTCCTGGCTTCTGTAGTTACTCTAGGGTATGTGCTCACATCTACAAGTTTGGAGCTGTGAACCACAAATGAGAGAGAACACGCAAAGTTTGTCCTTCTGGGTCTGGGTTACATCACTCAGCACACTACACTCTAGTTCTATCCAGTCACATGCAAATTCCATGATTTCATTTTTCTTTATAGACAGATAGTATCCTGATATATATATATAGATAGATAGATAGATAGATAGATAGATAGATAGATAGAAAGATCCTTATATAGATATATCCTTATATATATATAATTTATATTACCCAGTCATCAGTTGCAGGATTTGGTTGTTTCCATTTCCTAGCTGTTGTGAGTAGAGTGGCAATGAGCATGGTTGACCAAGTATCTGTAGAGTAGAATGTTGAGTCCTTTGGGCAGCTCCACCTCTTTGATCCTAACTTCTGTGCATATTGCTTTCTGAATAGATTTTGTGAGGATGTAAGCCTCCTTCCCTCATCACTCTGTCCAAGAGAGAAAGAAAGGGTGGGAGAAGCAATGTGTTAATAAATAGAATAGACTTTGTTAGAGTTTGGAGATAAAATAGTTGAGGCAAAGATTATTAGACACTGTGAAAATAATTTTAATTTCAAATTCAGCCTTAGATATCGCATATCCTATTTGCACCCACAAATCAGAAACTTTACTGCCTTGAAGCTATGTTATAATTGCATGATACAATGTGTGTAAAGCTGAAATGAATGATACACAAAATCAGTATTTCATAGAGACACTGAAATATCATCAGCTCATTCTCTGGAATTAAAAATGGGTACTGTGATTTCTTAGTCCTAAAGAACAGATGACATTTTTAGACCATTTTATCCTTCAGATTCTCTGATTATATGGGTAGTTATTGCTGTTTGCCTAGAACTTTTCTCTAAGGCTCCCTAAAATAACGTATTTACATATGATATGAGCTCAGCTCATAACTTGCAGTAGTAAGCAATTCATTTAAAATTTTGGGACCTGGGAGACTGAGCAGGAAGCCAGAGGAGCCGTATGCTATGGAACTGCTAAATCAACAAAGGATAATTTCAGAACCTTGTCAGAGGACTCTGTACATACAATACCCATTCCAGACTAATTTACAGCACCCATGGCAGGGCAAGAAAGATCTCCAGGTGCCTCTCTGCGATATGGAGACTACCTCACCCTGATCCAAGAAGTAATATAGAGTTACACTGTACATAAAAATATAAACACGCCAACTACATAATCAAATTCAGTTGCA